AATCTTTTAACAGGCCGGTGCTGTGCACCTCGCGGTCCACTCTGTTTTCATTTAATTAAAGTTTTAATTTATGTGGCCAGCAAACAGTAAGGACCTATGTTTGTCTTGCTCCGAAGGAGATAATCAATAGGAGAGATGTAGACACATTTCACTGCTTATTAGCTGCATACATTGATGGAGTTTACCATAACAGCATGTACAAATGCCTTTACTCCACTCTTTAGCTAGCCTAAGAGTCTGATTAATAACAGAAGCCAGAAAAGTGTTCCAAAACTTTTCAATTAGGAAAAAAAATTATCATCCACACAACAAAACAATTTCCTAGTGGTAAGGGAATCCTCGTTAGTGTATACAGAAAAGCAATGTGAGCTGGAACACAGATGCCACAGGTACTTACTGCAATTCTGACGAGCAATCTAAAAAGGACCTGGGATCTGCACAAACATCGGACTGAATGCGAACCAACACCACGCCCTCATCACAGATTCAGCAAGCCACCTACTTAGCTTCATTAAAAGCATGACCAGCAGACCAAAGGAAGTTATCTCCCTCTCATCAGTGCTGGTGAAGCTGTACCTGGAACACTGAGTCTGGTTTTAGATTCCCCACTGCAACAGAGACAGGGAAACTGGAGAGGGTACAGCACAAGGGCTAGAGAACTAGATTAATGAGGAGAGGTTGAAGCTGGGCTTGTTCATCCTGCCGAAAAGGTGGTTAGCAGGGCGATCTGGCAGCAACAGGAGAGTTACCATGTGATGGAGTCAAACACTTCTTGGTAGCACCAGGCAATAAAACAAAGGACAAGAGAGTACAGCTTGGGAGGCGCAGGCTAGGCTTTGCAAGTTTTCATAGGGTGAGCAGCACAGCACCAGTACGGGCTACCAGACAGATGGCTTGATTTTCAGTATTGTTAGATAGAGACACAGGTGACCTGACACAGTGTTGACAAAGGTCCCAACAGCTAATTTAAAATAATCTATGAATACAAATATGGTTTAAGCCTCCATTTCATAATTTTTGGAGGAAAGTAAAAGGGAGTGAATCTAGGTTCATATATGACAAATTCATTTTACTACAACTCTTGATGGCTGTTCTACTGTGCAATACACAGAAGTAGCACCCACAGATGCAGTAGCTATTCAGATGCTCTGCCCCATGTTTTGTCTTCAGTTTCAAGAATGCTCTGTTCAAGTGTACTACATCAACTTTCAGATTAATTGCCTCAGCTAATACTCTGAGGTGGATGCCTAATTTGGCCAACAAAGTTACACTCTCCTCAGCTTGTTCTCTTCAATGGCAGCTTTCCCTCTGTATTAGCGTACGACTTCCCTGAAACAAGAAGAGAGTGTTGTTACAGAGAAAATACAAAATTAGCTCTGCATTTGCTGACTGCTCCCAAGAGAGATCTTGTTCCTTACTTCAGTCTAAGTACTCAAAAGTCAGTTCCTGAAACTTCCCCTCCTTTCAAGTTATTTTCCCCTAGGTAAGGCTCCAGCAAACAGTAACTTGTGTGATTATTATTGCTATTACAGTCTCTTATTTTGTTTAATCAGTAATTACTTTAAATTACATGGCTGAACTGCAGCTGGATAGATGTCATTCACAAATAAAGGCTTGTCCTTTGAAAAGCTAGAAATAGGGGC